CAATAAGAGATAAATCACAGAAGACATTTGATTGCATTGAGTGGATAACTTGGAATTGTGATTGTATAATAATAATACCACCACTTCCCCAATGCAATCTTCACTATGGCCTTCTAGTCCAGATTTTTTCCCCTTCTTGCCACTGATACTGGCTTCACATTAAGAATCAAAAAGGGCATCCAATGACTAGAGGTTGGCACATGTCCTAGAACATTCTTAAGGGCTTTTAATGAAGATGGAGAAACTTCTGTACTACACTTTAGATAGGATGGTGTATTTGTTGCTAGGATTCCATCAGAGACTATATGGGTGTTTCTGGTATTGATTTATTTAGTCTGTTATGTCTTTTCAGCTTTTCATCTACTAAATGAGAGTAAGGAGACTATGAGCCCACTGGGGCAAAAGTAGCCCAAGCGAAAATTAAAAATTGCTAGTCTTGCCCACGCTGTAGCTTGTGAGTAATATTTCCCAAGTAGCTCAAATGAGGCTACGTCTTGGCCACCTCTCATGGTCCCCTTCTAACAATGGCTGTCATTGCCAACCATGAAAGGGAAAGGGATTAAAATAATGAGAGTGATTAGCAGCATGCTCATCATGATGCATGCCCCTGGGCCTGAGGTCTCCCCCCCATCCTGAAAGCTGTCTGTGGGCAAACGCCGGCTCCCTCAGCCTGAAGCAAGATGAGTTGCCTTTGACTGGACTTAATTGTCCAAGGGTCCTTTACCTTTTTACCTACCTTTAGTGCCACATACCCACAAATACTTTTAAAATACAGGGGTTGTTTTCTTTTCTTTTCTTTTAATGTTAGTTTATCCAAGTAATGGGTCTTTGACTATTTTCTCTTCCTCATCAAGATTAATAGTCTTGCTATTTCTCTAGTCATTTTGATAGTATTTTTTCCCCATCTTATTATACTAGTAGTCTCAAAGAAGTTGTAACAGGATATTTGTACATACATCTGCCAACTGCTTTGTTCAATATGTACATTGCATGCATTTTTATTTGATTTTATCTCTCCTTCTCTCTCTCTCTCTCTCTTCCTCCCTCTCTCTCCCTCCTTTCCTCACTTATGTCCTCTCCTTAACCTGTGTTTAGATAAATCTTGTTCACCACATCCCTGGCCCATACACGTTCCTTAGTCACTGACTCTCCTGTCATTCAACTTCCCTCACCTTTTTCAGTGCTGTAGAATGGACCAAAGCCCCTGCTGTAGCTAAAAACATAGATCCCGGAAGGCCTGGCAGCTAGTGACTATGACTAATTCCCTGGTGAAGATTAGTCCATCAAGTGAATTAAAAGAACAAAGCTCTGTTCTCTGTTCAGGAATGTGCTCCCTGCCAGTGCATTATAAAGAGTGCTTTTCTTCAGAAGAATTCTACTTCGATTCATTGGTTCGTGGGTCAGGTGGACTCTAAAACAAAGGTGTAAAACAATCCCATTCTACTGCTAATAAAATGTTTAGTAGGGATCAACCTAGCAGTTGGTTTTCTGGGAGTGAACTCAGACCTTTTTTTAAAAAAAAGGATTATAATTACTATCAACAGCCAAAGATGCCTGACAGTATAACCAAAATCAATAATCACTTGTATTATCAAATGATCTGCAAATTAAAATTCAAAACTGTACATACAATTGTTTCCCTCAACACTATTACCATGGTTGCTATAGATCTTGCCTACATCTTTACATGAGATCAGAACCTGTAATATTTCAATTTTCTTCCATGACAGCTGTTGAGAATATTGAGGTTCAAGTAGGAATGTGGTGTTGGGCCTATACATCTGTGTACTGCTTTGCAGTTAATAGTAAAATAAGATGCCCAATTAATTAATTAATACATCCAGGATGGGGGAAGGACTTAATATTCCTATGTGTGATGGCATCACTGGGCATACATTGGAAGCTCAGTTACAAATTTCACAGTAAAGTCCACCACTCGTAACACTGAAAATTCACCACCAGGAGCACAAACAAGCTCCTCCTACTAGGGGTGGGCAGTATATAAATAAATTGTCTGAAACCGATTTGAAGTTCAGATTGAGATAAGAGTTTCAGAATGGCAATATATTGCCAGAGGGAGCTTTAAAACAGAGCATTCCTGCCCAGCCACTGTGAGGGGCGGTCACCAGGAAGGGGGTATCGCTATACCTGCCCACTCCGTCCCTCACTGGAAAGGACATGCCAGAGTGATCGCTGGGTGCGCAAGGGCAGGCAGCCCAGCTGAGAGATTGCTCCTCCTGCCCACTCCCTCCCTCCACAGCCCAGGACCTTGACATCATGATATACCAGTATATCACAATGGTTAGCGTGTGATATATCATGATGTTGAAAACCAGGTATCACCCAGCCCTACCTCCTACTTAGCTCCAAACATCTTTGCCCACCCTGCAAGCTTCCTGCAGTCCTAAAAGGCACATCTCCATTTCCCATTCTCTACTGGAGATGTATTGATAATTTAAGCATTAACACATACGCACACACAGCAAACCCAGTTGAAATAAAAAAGTGACACTGCTTTGTCTGAGCCAAACACTGACCTTTATCTTATTGTAAGTGTGGTTAAAAAAACAACACACACACCAGTTTGTTTGTTTTTAAATGTAGCTTTTGTAAAGTCCCCTCCTGGTCTCAGGTGTCACAATATGAGCCTGTAGAACAGTTTGCCATAGAAGGCCTTTCCTGGGTCTGGTTACGTTGCTTGAAAAAACAGTAAGTACAGAGCAGGAACTGGTGTAGTAGAGAGCCTTAGTATGGCAGCGTATATTGAGTACTGGACTGTATATCTTATTGGAAGTCAATGATGCATAAGTTCCTAGGTGCCTAACAGCACTCTCAAGGATAAAATCTCAGGATCTATTTAGTTTTCCCAGTGTTTCTCCAGAACAAATTGGCTCTGATCCAAAGGGCCCATGGAGGCTGATCTAAAGCCAGTTCTTTCACAGTTGTAAAGGATGCAAGAAAAGAGGGGAGTGAATGAGTATAATTTCAACCCAGGAACAAGCTCATAAAATCAATGACTCCCAAAGTGCTATTGAAAAAAAGTGGTTTTTCATACCTGCTCATTACACCATCTGAGTTAGGAAAGAAACACTGAAATCATCCATTGCCTTTAATTTGTAATGATGGGTCATATTTGGTTACTGCTCAATTATAGACAGCTATATTTGTTCCCAGCATGTTGCACTGCTATCCTTCCCAGACTGACAGTTTCACAACGGCACAATTTGCACCTGTAGGTAATAAGGATGTAATAGTGCATAACATCATAAGTTGGAGAGGTAGCTGTATAATCCGGACTTCATGTGCCTAGATGATAATGTGACCAGTGGTGGTGTTGTGAGAGAAATTGGGAGATAAGCACTGATGCTGCCAAAGTACATTTAACCAGGTGGCTGCAATTTATTTAGGTACTAGAGGTTCTACTGCATTCAAAACTGGAGTTTTCCATTGTCACCTTTGGAGGATCTCTTACTGCTTATGCATTGCCTATACTGACCTGTTCCCTCTATGTTTCTTCCCCTCCAATTCCTTGGCACTTCCGTACAGATGGCAATAAGGAATGATTCCTCAGATACCCGTAGCTCAGAAAGCCGAGAGAACATCCATGCCGAGGTGAGTGAGCTCTGTGATCCAAATTTGTCAGCTCCATCCACTGAGGATCTGTCTGTCACTCTGACGCCCTCCGAAGCAAGAGACTCAGCCGGCTGGGGGCGATCGAGCGTTCATACTCAGCAACATTCCCGCAATCAGTATAACATTTCCATGCATGTGCCGGATTTGTGTGCCTGTACAGACTCCCTTCAAGAACTGCCTGGAGACCCGATGGACCAAGAAGTATCAGAAATAAATAGCTCTTTTACTTCAGGAACTTGTTCAGCCATGAGTGCCTCTTCAGTGGTTCAGCCCGAGACCCCTAAGAGAAACGTAGGCAACAGTGGCAATGTCACTTTGAAGGACCTGAAGAAGTGCTACAGTGTAGATACACAGGGTCTTCTTAAAAAACCATCATCCTGGTTAGATGATCAAAGGAGACATTCCATAGAGATTTGCTCCATGGAAAACAGCCCTCAGCATCATTCCACATCTAGTTCTTCTGGCTTCATAAGTCAGGTCTTAAGTGAAATGGAAGGCTTGCAAGGGACGCGGCAGAAGAAAAAACTGAGTCCCCCGTGTATATCAATAGACCCACCTGATGAACAGAGTTTGTTACTGAGGGGGCCACGCAGCGCCACACTGCCTGCCAGTGCAGACGTTTGCTTGCGAAGACGCGCCCCGTCCTGGGATTCCAAGGATTCGGTGGACGCAGGGGACTCGGCCCTTCCAGACAGTATGTCACTAACTCCAACCCCAAAGAAAGACTTGTTGACTCTTCCTAGCTTTTCCTTTGATCAAACAGATGCGGACCCTTGAGTTAGTTTGTTTTCCGTTGTTGGTGCCAAATGTTTCTTTTCTCCCTCATGTAATAAATTAAACCTTTCCATTCTAAAATGGCACTGATTTCTTAAAAAAAAAAATCCAAAGAAAGTTTAAAGAGCTAGCTGGTTTTAAGAGTGGTTAAGCTATATCACGCTTACTTAAGCATAAGTTCTGCTTGGGTAAAAGCAATACATTGTTCAGAGTCTATATGTATATTCTATTTTATTAAATTAATTGAACCTAGTATTGCAGGATGTAGTACATTTTGTGGCTTAAAGACATTGTTTATTTTCTTCTTTTTTATGTATCTCAGAATATTCCTGAGATTGCGTTGGTTTTTTTAATGAATATTTTAACCTTTAAAAATACATATTTAATCCTCCCCTATTTTCTTTTCATTTTGCAAAGCACAAGATGTAGCCATTAGTGCATTACTGAGAAAATGTGTCCCATGGTCAACTAGAAATGAGAATATTTGCAATTATAATGTACTTCACTCACTGACCCCTCAACTATTTTCTGTAGAAAATAGCCATTTGGATATTTTTTTTACAACTGTATTGGCATTAAAAAAAAGAATAAAATAATATCCAAAATGATTTTTATTACACTGTAGAGGAAAAGCAAGTGCACAAGCTGAAGAGCATATGGGATAAGCAGATAGACTTGAAAGAAGGTTTCTTATAGAGAGAATTCAGCAGTCTCTTAGCAATACACAAGACTGTTTAATGTGCCAGATATTTGCTGTTGCTTACTTCGGTGATCCCTAAAATCATACTGAGCGTGAACACCTAAGGTGAGGCCTCTGTCCTCTTCCATTGCCCTTCCTAAATATGCAGAGTATGACCTAAAGGCAGAGAAAAGGTTGTGATGCTGCAGGGTTGTCATGATCTGGTACTCATAGAGGACAATCATGTGCGCTTTACAGGGCCGGCCCACCTATGAGGCAAGGTGAGGCAACCACCTTGGGCGGCAGGATCAACAGGGGCAGCAGATCCTGATGTAGATCTTTATTTCAGCCCTTTGTTCCTGATGTCAATCTTCACTCCCCACGCTGCCTTCCCTAGTAAGGAGGTGGGAAGACCACTTTGTGGTTCGCCTCAGGTGCCAAAATGTATTGGGCTGGCCCTGGTGCTTTACTAAGTCTCATCATTCTCCCCTTCTTCTGGTGGGACAACAAAACCCAGCAGTGGCAGCAACAGCTTACAAAAGCAATCCAACCTTGTACAGTCCATCCATTTCACCTGCCTTAAAGTGCCATCAGCTACCCACTGCCAAATGGCAGTGTTTCTTTTTATTTTCTGTGGGATCAGACATTTCACATAATGACTGCAACTGGATTTCACCCCTGACTGCCATAAACAGCAAATTAAGGGTCTGGAAAATCATTTGCATTTGTCCTTGTTCAATACTGTACATCTGTGGTGCAATGGAACATAATTTGAACAAACAACTTGCCTGAGACTCCCTCTTTCTCTAGTGGTAGCCATACAGTGGCTAAATGGACAATTAAATTCTTTCAGATTTATACTGCAATCCTAAACACATTTACTCAGAAGTAAGTTCCCTTTGTTTCAGTGGAACGTGCTTCCAAGAAAGGGCTTAAGCTAACAACTGACAGTGATTTGCCTGGTTGAAAATTAAGGTTGGCCTAAACTGAGCAGGTAAAGCTTTTCTTGCCATACAGCTCCACGCTAGCAAGCTGCTAACAATCTATGTAAAAAGGTTCCAGTGCTACAAATAAACCTAGTATGTCAATTTCTTTCAGTGGCTGAGAGAACCATTTCTATATAAAAGAACCTATTTGAGGTTTGCAGGTGTATCCCATAAAGTACAGTCGTACCTTGGATCCCAAAAAGCCCTGGAACTCAGACGTTTTGGCTCCCGAATGGCGCAAACCTGGAAGTGAGTGTTCCAGTTTGCGAACATTCTTTTGGAAGCCGAACGTCCGACGGGGCTTCCACAGGTTCTGATTGGCTGCAGGAACTTCCTGCAACTAATCAGAAGCTGCGATTTGGTTTTCAAACGTTTTGAAAGTCGAACAGACTTCCGGAACGGATTCCGTTCAACTTCCAAGGTACGACTGTATATTCAAAGAATGCAAATAATTCTTGCAGTAACAGGAAGATCATCTTAGGAGTGCTTTTAAATTGTATTAGCCTCTCATCAGTCTTAACGGGATCAACCCCAGACTAATTTTCTCAGCATAATGATCAGGCATCTGGTCTATGTAAACCTGGAATCATCAGATTTTAATGGATCTTTTCTGTTCATTGTCAGCTGCTTAGGGGTTTTATTTACAGTTCAGTAGTATACTGATTTTGATAAATAAAATCACCCAAACTGGTCTAGCAGAACCCAGTCTTCATCCACATGCTAAAGCCAAACAGTTTTCCATTCACATGGCGGGCTTAATATGAGCCCAAACCAAGACTGGCATTGGCTACATTGAGGACATGTTTTGCTTTGCAATTCTAGGTTCTGCAGCATTGCTGCCATGCTCCTCTTCCTTAAGAAAGGGGGGGGGGACTCTCTTTATAGTGGTAGTGAAATTGATAATGATTCCAAAAATAAACCAGAAAAACTGCCCTTATAACCGAGAACTCCAGAAATTAACGTGTACAGTTATTTTACATATATAAAAATGTCTCTCCTACCTTTCTGTTGCCTGTGCACCTGTTCCCTCTTCATCAGTCAATATGTTAGCAGGTGGCGGTCATGGGGTCTGTAAAAAGCATAATACATTCTCTGTAGGATTTCTATACACAGAGATGGATTCTGCTGTCATGTTGTCTCTTGTTAACCTGTTTTTAACCACTGCTGCTTCTGTGCATTCTGTGCTTGCAACAACTCCCTTAAGTAGGTTAGGCTGAAAGAGAGTGATTTGTCCAAAGCTACCTGTGAGTTTCACTACTGGGCGGGAAGGGAACCTAGATGGTACCAAACTGCTTAATCCTGAAGCCGCCACACACACTGGCTCATCCTCCAAACAGCTTTGGCTAGTTAAAACAGTGCAAAAGGGTTGAAGAAAGGGGTGGATTTTTTAAAAAAATGTTTTACTGCAGCTCACAATTCTGGGGGGGGGGGGAAAATACCACTAAAAGCAGTTCTTTGCACTGGTCTAACTAGACAAAATGATCCCAAGAGTAGGGAGGGCTGGTTCTTCCCTATGCCTTTGGCACGCAATTCAGTTACATATATTAGTGAAGAGAGCATTGCCCTCTAGACAAAAAATGAGTTAATACAGTGGTACCTTGGGTTACAAACACCTCAGGTTACAGACTCCACTAACCCGGAAGTAGTACCTCGGGTAATGTTAAGTTGTGGGTGAAGATATCAGACGACACAGCGATTCTTCAAACAGCTCTTGTTTATTCACAGGCCAGAACAGAACTGAACTGAAGGGTTCAGCCAGCCTGCTTATATAGAGCTCCACTAGAACGCAACAGTAGCCATTTTCTGTAACTATCCAATCACTGAACGTCCCTTTTCATCCCTTATTTGCATATGTGGACCTGAACTATCTACACTACACCCCCGCTGGCCCAGGGTGAGAACTTCAGTACATAACAGTTAAGAACTTTGCCCCAGGATAAGAACAGAAATTGCGTGCCAGCGGCACAGCGGCAGCAGGAGGCCCCATTAGCTAAAGTGGTACCTCAGGTTAAGAACAGTTTATGGTTAGGAATAGACCTCCGGAATGAATTAAGTTTGTAACCAGAGGTACCAATGTAAATGTATCATTTCCAAGGATCCCAAGGGTTGCACTGGCACAATTAGTGGTGCTTCTGCAGCGTGCAAGCATGCACTCTCTCACACACGTACACACTGTTGCACTGGTAACTGCCTTTTTTTCTACAGACCAGGCTTCCCACCTTTAGAAAGCCTCTCCTTCGTTGTGAGATGGCTTTGCTTTTAACAACATGCTCCTGTTTTTGCTGGAAGAGATCCACTGATTTCAGTTTAACCTGCCTCTGTGTAAATGTAAACATATTTAGGACTGCAGTGTTGGTATATGTTGTTAATCCAATTAAGGCTAAAAACATTCTAGGCCATGCATTCCTATGGTCCTCATTTGATCAAACATTCAGTCTAAACCTGGAACTGTATTTAAAGATTGATTAAAGGGAAAGACAAACAATATTTTGAAACTCAGATTTTGAATACTTGAAATTCCAAAATAATATTGAAAATAAAATAGAATAAAACTGGAACTAGCATGAGTACTAGATTACACAAGCTCATACTGGACCCTTACCTAAAAGCACATTTCATGTGGACCTTGTCACCAAGTGATGGTATAAATCACTGTAAGGTTGTATAATTTTGCAACATATCTGAATTAACACCCAGGTATCCTACGTAGCTCTCTGTGCCAATAGAATCTTGGTTCAGTATCATCCCTGCTTGTGCAATATCCTGAACACCCCAATGCTTTTGTTTCTCCAAGCCATTGATTTTGAAATAGAATGTTAAATTTTGAATTCAACAAATTCATCAACTAAAAGTTATGATTTTTGGACCTACTGACCATATTACCACAATTAGTGCAATTCTTAGAAACCAGTCTATCATTGTGATTTTCTCTGGTTAACGGGGGGAGGGCAGGATAAAAAGACAGCACAGTAAGATGGAAATATGTTTAATTCTTTGCTTTGGTTCTGAGGTTTTTTCTCATTCACCAAAGCCCTATGCAGATATTCAAAGCTATGCAAGGACAATGTATCAGGGACCATGCTCCTTTTTTCTGTTCCCACTCCCACACACAGGCAACCCTGCCATTTGCATATTCATCTATCTAACTTGTGTGCATAGGGGGCTAGACACATAGAGCCCAACACATGTCGTTCCCAACCTCACAATCTATGTACCCAATATTAGAATATACAAATGGCAGGCAGGGGTGAATTTCATTGGCCTCTGCATGCATAGGCTACAGTGTAAATATGGCAAAGTAATACACAGACATCAGAAGTGAGTCATGCAAAGGAACATGGTCTTGATCTTCTCACTATGCTTAGCTTCAAACATCTGCATACAGCAGAGGTGAGGGACCTATGGCTCTCCAGATGCTGTTCAACCATATTTCCCATCAGCCCCATTCAGCATGTCATTAGTCAGGAAATATGGGAGTTGGAGTGCAACAACGCAAAGGGCTGCAGGTTCCCCACCCCTGGCAAAGGGATTCTGATAATGGAAAAGCGAGGTGTCAATAAAATGATGGTACACAATTTCAGCAATTGTTAAAATGTACAGTATTGATCTGGCTGCAATCAAATCTACAAAGACTACACACAAAGAGCATAATGTGCAATATTTCAGAGGGGAAAGTGGTGCAAAATGTAATGTACACTGAAATCTCAAGAACTGTAACAATATCCTAAAAAAAATATATATATGTTTAAAGATGTTCTGTTTTCAGCGCTTGGGGATTTTCCCACTCAGAAACTCCATGTGCATATCAATAAAGCAAAGATTTGCTTCATAAAATCATATTCAATAAAAAGATCAATACAAAACTTACTGTAACCTAATGCATTCAGGAAAATAATGCATGTAAACTACTTTGTGATACAAATATTTTCTAGTTGCCCTTTTGAAAATCCAATTACAGTACTAAAGCATGTGCAATAATCTTCGAAGAATTTTAAATACCTTTGGGATGGGCTTTTTTGAAATATATATATAATTTGACTTTTTTTAAGAAAACAAAAAGGTTCTAAAGAGAAATACACAAATTCTGTAGAATGGTTATGCTGATTTTTTTAATATATATTTTTGTAGAAATCTCTAGAGCAATTGTCAAGCCTGCCAAGCATCTTGGAAATAGAAGAGGCCTAAGTTCTGGCATTTTAGTCTGAGGTTTTTGAGACCAGAGCTGATACGTTTTGAGATACATGTTTTTACCTGTTTTTCCAATATCAAGGGTAAGGATTTGAGAACTTAATTTTAGCTCCCAGTTCTAAACACATTTCAAAGAGGCCAATCGCTTGACAATTTCATAGTAGATGCACTACACAAGCAACCTGCTCTTGCCCAACTATCATTCATTTCAGCAGCTATTATTGAAATGACTGCACCTCAGGCATTAAGTGGTTTTTTCCTGCTGAATTCATTTGGATGTGGATTGCATGCACCCACAAAATAAATTCAGCTACATTCATGGCTCTTTTCTCCACTGATTTGTTAATGGCTGACGAGGGTTATAAAACTTCAATCATTTTTTTCCAGTGTGATTAGTAAACCAAGGCTGCAATCCTTTACACATTTACCCTGAGTGTAGGCATGTAAAGAATTACACAGTAAGGCAATGATCTAAAGCACACTTTCTACTAAGTCCCACTGAATTCAATGAGCTTTCTGAATATATATCACTGGGATTGTGTTGCATAATTTTAGTCACAGTTTAAGCATATATGTGTGTGCATGCACACAACACGCTCTAACAGTAAGGTAAACAGCAAATGAAAGCTCACATTGGGACCCACACAACCTGGCTCAAATTTCTTGGGGCTCTGCACGTGTATTTGAAAAACTTGGTTGCAGAATTCCATTTGAACAAAACGAGTAGGTTAGCTTAGAGAGCAACTAACTAAGATTTCATGTCACAAATTAATTTTATTTGCAAGAAAAAAGCTATACTAATGAGGTTTTTGTAACATGCTAATTTCTGAACATTTAATCCGCCATCTGTTTTAAAGTCCATTATTGATCAGATAAAAATTCTGACTCTATTGACAGCCTTACTGACAAGTAATGGGTGCTTCAAATGATTGCAAGTTGCAATCATTAGAGGGTGGGGACAATTGTGTGAATTTGCCATTTATATGTATGTGATTCCTATTGACTTCACTGGGACTCTGGTGCATCTGAGTGTGTTTAGAACTGGATCTTTCCTATTCTTTGATGCTGCAGTTCTAAGTTCTTAGGTTGTTGTTGTTATTTTAAAACATACTAATTTAAAGCATATTGCCCCTAGTAAACCCAAACGAGAAATGCTATCCAGTTTGTTTTAAAGCACACCAGCACTTTAATATTGTGGATTTACTGTATACTGGTAGGAAGAGAGTATTCTGCTTTTGCCAGTGTATATTATGAGGGTAAACACTTGCTACCATGTCTGAGGGAGGAAAAAGAAAAATGTAAATTCCATACTTGCAAACATTGCACATGGTATTTCTATAACTTTTAGGTAGATTACAGGTTATTTAAACTGTAGATAATTTGGAAGAAGATACAATGTTTTTGGCTTCTGTAAATTGCACTCAACAGAAAATCTGGTTTTGGACAGAAAAGGGGGTTTATAATTGTAAAGTATGCCTCAGTTTCCCCTTCAATGCCTCACTGACTATAATAACCCACATAGAATCTTTCACAAAAATTACTAGAGTAGCCGCAGTACCAATGTCCATTAACAACCTAGTAACTATTTTAGAACTTTGTATTTAATAGATAATATATTGTTAAACTGTATCAGGTATAGAGACCTAAAATTGGGTGTTTGGTGAGGGCAACAAAAGATGGTACTATTGGGGAATACTGGGTTAAAATGTTTTTTTTATGAGTGTAAATCTTTACAAATGACAAAAACAAATGTGTACTATTAAAAGCTTTTGAAAAGAAAAGGCATGAACCCTGATTCTTTTATTCTTAGTTATTTGATCTGTGTATGCAAACAGCACATATCCATTATCAACACTAGGTATAATCGGTGTCAGTCTACAAATAATCCACATCAATTTGTAGAAACACGGGCAATCGGCTTCAATGAGCCAAACATTTCTTTACTGTCAACAGCAAGGGGTTCCTATGATGCACTGAAACTCCCAAAGAATCTCTGTCTGGTGTTTTGTTAATGTACTGTGGCAAATAATAATTAGAACTATTTTGGTCGAGAATGCTGCTCGTAGAGTACAGAGCTGTGGTGAAACCTGTGCCACTATGTTTCAATTTATCTTTCTGCATGCCAACTTAAAGGAACACTTACCCGCAGGAATGGATGTTTATTTTTTTGCAATGTAGGTCTGAATCATTGCTGTACGTTGTCTGGTGGACAGCAACACGAGAACGGGCCTTTTCTGCAGTGGCTCCCCGTTTGTGGAAGGCTCTCCCCGGAGAGGCTCACCTAGCGCCTTTGGCTGATGAAACATGCTATGGCCTTAAAAAAAAAAAGTATATTATTATTATTATTCATAAAGAATTGTTATTGGCATAAACACATACAAAATGCAGAATGAATAACGAATGTAACAATCAACAATAAAAATAGAAAAATAACATGAAATGAGAAAACAGAGGGGAGGGGAAACCTGGGAGACAACTGAGAGTGCAATGACACATACAATTATCACACAGAAGAAGAAAAAGGTGAGTCAATTTTCTTCTCAGCAGAGCCTCTCTCCACATATTTATCTGTGGAGCAGGGGTTTTAGTGGGCTCTGCAGACGAGTTAACATAGAAGGAAAACTTGAATAAATGTGGTCTGTTTCTGATGAACCATTAAGGGCTCTCTGTTTGTGTGTCAGGTGTCCTGACAGTGCAATGTACCGTACAGGTTGAAAAACGACACAGTACAGCTAGAGAGCAAGAATCTTCCCTGGTCATCAGGTGAAGGACCCCTTTCAGGCAGCATCCCCATGTTTCCAGGAAGTAACTGTCAACTGAACCCCCTAAGCACCTGTGCCCCTTGCCTCCAAGGCGGCAGCTGAATGAGCAGGCCAGATCCCCTTCCTCCCTGCAGAGAAGGAACTTATTGCCCCTCCGTCCCCACAATCTGCCAGACAACAGCAATGGCACCCAAGAAAGCACTGCCTAATTGCATTGGATGGGAAGAGAGAGATAATCCTGCATATGCTCAAAAATAAGTCCCATTGGTATACAGAACAATCCTAACCATGTCTGCTAAAAAGCAAGTCCTATTGAATTCAGTAGGGTTCACTTCCAGGTAAATAGTATTAGGATTACAATTTTACTCCCAGGAAAGTGAGTATAGGGTGCTGGGAAGGGTCAGATTCAAAAAAAGGCTATGAATTAGTCAAACAAAGCACCCTGTTCAGCAGAACAGAAAAAAATAAACTTGTATAGCTCTTCATATTTAGATAAATAACCATCAGCACATTTAAATGGCCTCATAAGCTACATGTACACTTTTATATTTCTCTACAAAATTATTTGACAAATAAAACGTATCCTTTGCAAATAAAATTATTATTTTAAGCTGCCTGCACACATTATCACGCAGTACTGCACTGAAACTGATAAACGTTACATACAATTTGACTTCCATCTATGTCAGAAGCTTTGAGAAGCAGCCTGATCTGTTTTAAAGCTGCTCTTTAAAATGTCACACACACATGCATGAACTCAAATCCAGCAAATATGCTTCTGCCTCAGAGGTCATTGGTGGGGGTCGGCTTCTCCCCACATCATAGATTTTGAGAGCTACAGCCTCTTCTCCCTGGAAAAGGTAGACCTCTCCACTGATTTCCATAGGAGAAAGTATAGATTTGTGTGCAAAACAAACAGCTTTTAACCTCTCCACCAAATTCTTCTGAGTGGAGTACCCTAGGGAAATGTGATTAAAATCTAGACCTGTCTGTCAAAATTAAAGATTCCACCACCACCCCACACACACCTATCTATACCCTCCCTATTCAAACTCAGGGTGTTTCTCCCATCAGCTTAGTTTCATTTCTCAGAAGGAAAAAATGTCTGAGCATATTTTTTGGATAGCCGAGGAAGTGACTCAGGAACTTAGGGAGTCCCTGATCTACCCCAAGATGCCTTGTCAACAGCACAATCCAACTCAGAAACGTGAGAACCTTTCCCCAATCACCCTGATTTGCCTTGTAATTCAAGGGCCACACAGTGCTACACACTCCTGGTGACTTTTCCCTCTCAGTTGTGCCTTGAGGACCTCTTAGCCAAGTAAATGTGAGCCCATGTATCAGGGGGCCATAACACAATCCCACAAATGTGGTAAATATACAAACAGTAGAACCATATGGGGGCTTCCCACCTGAACGCTACCATCCATTTCAGTAGCCAGTAGGCCCAAATGTCACAAATGTATTAGGGGGGGGGCAGATCTTCCTTTCCCAGCAAGAATGTAGGTTACATTGCTGCCATCTAGAGGGTATAATAATTATATTTTACTAAATTATATAAAGAAAGACAAGGCAATACAGTGGTACCTCGGGTTAATAACTTAATTCGTTCTGGAGGTCCGTTCTTAACCTGAAACCGTTCTTAACCTAAGGTACCACTTTAGCTAATGGGGCCTCCTGCTGCTGCCGCACGATTTCTGTTCTCATCCTGAAGCAAAGTTCTTAACCTGAGGTACTATTTCTGGGTTAGCGGAGTCTATAACCTGAAGTGTCTGTAACCTGAAGCGTCTGTAACCTGAGGTACCACTGTATAAGGCAGAAACACTACCAGTACAGAAGGAATCATGCTGTTTAAGCTTATCTTCAGCTTGGTTAAAAGTTGCTATTTAATTCCATTAACCACTAACATTAAATAACCAGTTCAGCAAGGGCTGAATCTATCTAGCTAGAAACCCCCAACTGCCATTTCCCATAGAACCAAAAGAAAGACATGCTGTTGGATGGGACACCAGGGTCAACTTCTCCTAAGGAATGTATTGCTTTATTATTTTATTATTATTAATTATTGTTATTGCTTTCATTATTCTCCTACATAAGGCTGTCATTTGGGGTAAAAAAATAAATGCTACCCTCTGCCAAAATTGCAGTCCAGGTAAAATGTATATGGGGCAGCAGATTGGCCTCCAGTAACTGGGAGCCATGAAGGTGTACTGTGTCTTTGTACAGAGCAAATGAGAATATACATACAAGGGCCCTGTGATAAACTGGTTGCCCTGTCACACACACCCATCAGTCAGGATGAGGGGCATTTTTCTGGCGTAAAGTATGAAAACCCAGTGTGTTTCAAGGCTTACATTCTGTTAATGGTTGAGAAACGTTTGTGATATCTGGAGCTATTCACATGGCGCAGCTCCTAAGCTGGCCTTCATCTGCTGTTGCACAGCACTTTTCCTCTTGCAGTTCCACCCTTTCATCAATTTGTATTTTCAAACCGTGCATACTCTCCAACATTTCTCCGATGAAAATAGGAACGTCCCATTCCATAACTACTTATACCCCACACATCTTACTGGGTTTCCCCAGCCACTCTAGGCAGCTTCCAACATATACAAGGACATAATAAAACATTAAACATTTTTTTTAAAAAAACCTTCTCTATACAGAATTGCCTTCAAAAAGCTCAGGGGTCAGATAACTCCATACCCTCCAACATTTCTCAAGTGAAAATAAGGACATCCTAAGGAAATGTGGGGCATTCTAGGATCAGATCAGAAAGCAGGGTGGCTTCTCTAAATCAGGGACCTCCCTGGAAAATAGGGAAACTTGAAGGGTTTGACAGTGCCTTTCATTTTTATTGCAGTGTCAAGGCAGGTCTGCAAAAAATGAAAAGCCTTTTGAAGCATTGTTGAGAGAGAGAGGGGGGGGGGGTTTGCTTTTATTTTAACCGTTCTGACGAGAGGCAGATATAGTTCATACAGAAAACAAAATGCTAGTCCTGTTCAGATGCACCATTTTGCAAGGATAGATAAACCTGCCCTGGAGTCATTGGACAGTGTGGGGACTGCCTGTCTAGGCCAACTCTGGCTTTCATGGCTTCAACCCCTAAGTCAAAGATAGCATGGTTCCAGCACAGTCTAAATATTTATTATTATTATTATTATTATTATTATTATTATTATTATTATTATTCACTTACACAACATTTCAGAGTGGTCAAAGCAAGGTAAAGCAGAAGCGGTAACTGCAGGTAAAGCAGTAATTGTGTGAGACTCTCCAGTGGGGTATTTTCTCCTCATGCAAATACTGTAGTAGCTATGAGGGTGGTCCGCCTGCCCCCCTACCCTGAGTACAGCCCTCAGCATTTTCCCACAAGGAAGCAGATGGCCACATTCAGAATCTGGCACGGACTTTGGAAGTGGCTGCTTAAGCCTCAGAGGGAAGGACAAACCGGTAAGTATATCAGTCTATTAAACGACGGGCACAAACACAGTAACAAGGGGGTTCTTATCTCATAAATCCAGCACCTCTGACAAACACTACCCCTTCCCCCCCCTCCAAATTTAAATTAGCATTTGTTCAGGGTGTGTGTGGAGCCAACAGGTGCAACACATTCAGGCAACATGGCTCCATAACAACTTCACACTCAAGATTGCCCCCAGCCTGGTAGATTGACCCCATAGACCTCTGTCCCCCTGCTTCCCTACAGTTCCTGCTCCCTGGGGTCATGCATGTTTGTTTGTTTTGTTTTAAAAAATGCCTTTTCTTTTTAGCTCAGTCACCAGCACAAGCTATTACTACGGTACCCTCTGCATCTTGCCTCTCTCTGGCCCTTTTCAGAGTAGGTTGCTCTCCATCTCTGGCGCCATCTGCTGGCTAATTACAGTTCTTTGTGGGGAAGCTGAAGTGCTCCACAAGTGCAAAAATATTGGTTGCGTTATTCTGATAATTACAGCCTTGCCGGTGATTGAGACAAGCCTTAACCGTTGCATGCAATTTGAACAGAACCCTTCAGAGCGTACCTCCTTCCTTTCTGCAGAAACACTTCACTGTAATAAGACACGTTTGGCATAATTGGTGCCCACTTGTATTTGAGTGCGTCTTGTGGCGCCTGCATTCACTATTCACTGCACTTGTATCTGCAGCTGTTTTGTCCACTGATTTAATGACTCGTCGCTTTTCTGTTTCCCCAAATTCCTAAAAACCAAATACTTTTCTTGCATGGATAATTGAACAATATTTCTTAATTTCCAGATAACCCAAATGTTTGGGGCTGTAGGATGATGCAAAACTCTGTGATTTCTAGGAGGGGGGCAGAGGGAGACGTGTAGGAGTAAACTGCCCATTTAATCTTAGACACTCTCTGATATTTATTCACACGGATGTAAAATTAAAAAGAAGGAAAGAAAAAAGTCAGCACAGCATTTGTTCACATTCAGGGCTTTTATAGAGAAAAATCTAAAGTGTGCTAAGGTCCTTTTGGCAGCTGCAGCAATAAGGTCTATGGACCAACCAGTTGAGCTGATGTTATATTATTATAGAATCTTTGAGAAACAGATGCTGGAGAATTACTGGTTGTGCAGCCATTGCATGTTTACTCAGAGCAAAATCTCCTGTTGCATTCAAAAGCTTCCAAGTGAGAGGGCATAGACATTTGTGAAATCCCATCTTTTATTTAATTAAAATCATTTTTATCATTTTTATTCCCCCTCTCCTCAAAAAGACTTCAAGGTAGCCAACTTGAAGTACCAAATATCAAATAAAAGTACTTAAACAAATTAAGAATGTTTATATGAGTTGAAGGAAAGGGTTGCAAAAAGGACAATCAAGTAATTCTATGCCAGCAGTGCTTGTCTTGCTTCCGTCAGTCTTTGTTTTCTTTTCTCTCTTTTTTTGTGAGGTCAAAATGATGTTCCTGAACATTCCAACGCCTCAAGGTGATGCATCAGAATCCACTGTAAGAAAAGTTGCATCTTTTATGGCAGCAATGAAAGTTCCATTTGGCTGGGGATATGAAGAGTCTGTGTACTGTTGGCAGGACTGAGTGGGAAGAAAAGGTAGGTATGGTGGATGAAGGGCAGAAAGCCCAGTTGAATGAGGACTGAGAAGGCAGTGGTGTAGATTTTCCAGAAAAGTTTGGCACATGTCTGAAGAGCTATTTATATACATGTGCTTCACAGGAACAGTAAGCAGGGAAAATTAATTACCAGTCATATCTAATATCAAAGTTGTATTGTATTCATGCCAATTGTCCTGTCTTGGTTGGACTGTAGCCATAATTAGCCTTTGGAGTAACCTCTCAGATTCAATACCCTCTACTGTAACTAAACTAACGACATGCCATTGTAATCATCATGTATTCTTCCCTTGTTTAATCTCTGCTTCCATTTCCTTCCCCTTCCTTCAATTCCCTTGTGTCAACTTTTAGACTGTATGCCTCTTGGGGCAGAAACCTGTCCAACCATTCTTTGTAAAGCACCCTGGACATAGGTGGTATTGTAAACAAAACAGAAACAGAAAGGAAACAAGCACACTAATGTTACTGTGGGTGTGGGCTTTGTATTCTTTATTTTTTATTAAAATATATTTCTAAAAATGGAAACTTTTCAGTGGAAAAATCTAGTAGTAGAAAATTTCCCCACCTGAATGAGGTTGTGGGAGCAGATGTAGCCAACCTGGTTGCTAATGGGAGTGAGACCCTGTCAGCATACAATACCTCCCCTCAAAGACCTGCATGGCTACCAATTTGTTACTGAACCAAGTTCAAGGTGTTGCTATTAGTGTACAAAGCTTGGACCAGTTTACTTGTGGGATTGCCCTATAAGACGACTCCGCCACTTCAATCTGCAGAACTGGTGCAACATAATAATCATTCTGCACTTATAGGAAATCAATCTCCTAGCATCTACAATTTCGAACTCCTCACCTATTGACACCAGGCAGGCATCTCCACAGTAATATTTTCATAGAGCCGCCATTCGCCCAGATTTTCCTTTACATTACTGTGATTTCAAAAACGTCTGGGGGAATATCCAAAAGGCGGCCTGGATCTTAGTTAAGTTAAGTCAATGGACAAATCATTTTTGACTCAACAATTTTAGGGTCTTCCTAAAAAAAGCTCAACTTTCGGGGTGTACTGGTTTTTATAGGCAACCCTATATTTTCAGTGTCTAACCAGAATGCTGACATGTCTTAATCTCTTACCATTGACTTCAATATCTTTTGAATGTTTTGACACACCTGTTTTATTACTAAGAATTTTAATGGGATTTTTTTTATTAAAAAAAACCACATAAGAGGTTTTATTACAATTAAGCAGTGTATAAAACTGTGAAATTAAAAATGAAAGAAAATAAAAAGCATTATTTAAAATCGTTCACGTTAAGGCTTCATAGCCATTAGTCCATGGGTAGGCAACCTAAGGCCCGGGGGCTGGATCCAGCCCAATCGCCTTCTAAATCCGGTCCATGGATGGTCCGGGAATCAGCATGTTTTTACATGAGTAGAATGCACCCTTTTATTTAAAATGCATCTCTGGGTTATTTGTGGGGCATAGGAATGTGTTCATTCCCCCCCCCAAAAAAAAAATATGGTCCAGCCCCCAAGGTCTGAGGGAGAGTGGACTGGCCCCCTGCTGAAAATTTTTGCTGACCCCTGCTTTAGTCCAATGGTAGAAAAGTGCAGGTTCAGAGAATATACCTTTATGAGAACTACGGTTCTGCTGAACTGGCACCCTGGAACCTGAAATCATAGTGGGAAATTCCAAAAATTGTTCAAAATGTTTGATATCCTGCTTGTGTTTACACATTAGTGCATAAAATGCAATGTGGCTTTTCTTTTTACAAGTGCTAGGGAGATTGGCTTGCTGTACCACATTAGCAAGAAAGTGAATGACTAGTTAAAGGTTGTACAGGATATTAGTTACTGTGCTCTGGCCCGTTAATTTAGTAAACGTTGCATCCATTCTAGGCATCATGATTGAAGCCATTCTTTTGGGAAACAATCCCAAATCTCTTACCTAAATAAAAACATGGAATTCCCGTATCACCAGGGTCTACTTTGGCCCCCCACTGAAATGAAGGAACCAGCATGGACAGTGGACAGTGATGAAGTGAGCTGCATGGGGAAATAAGCATGTTTCCTAGGTTTCCTTTCCTTCCTTTTCACCTTCTCAGCCCTTATCAAAATATCTCAAAGTCAGCAAATCCAAACATTTGCTACAGGAATAAAGTATGCCAATCACAGGAGCCCCAACAATAAAATATTTTAGGGGGCTGGGTCCCCACAAAGTTGATGGGCATTCCCATTCAAGCAGTGTGTGTGTACTGTGCCATGTGATTGATTAAGCAAGGTGGGACTTACCTCCCCCCCCCCACAATATTTTATTCAAGTTGGCACCCCAAGGCCAATTGTAAAGGAATGCAAATCATCCAGAGTTAAATTATGAACAGGCTGACCCCAAAAGGTATATACTGAACACTATTGAACCCAAAGGAACTTATTTTCTGATAAGTTGTAATATGCTGGGAAGGTCTCAGGCCAGGAACTGTGGCAGTCAGAATCTGGAAGCCTTTCTCTTACACTTTGACCCATGTGAAAGCTTCCACTAGAGTACTAGCCTACCATATTGTTTTTAGCTATTTTTTAAAAACAGCAAAAATGCCACTGTTGACATGGGATGCCATGTGTTGAGATTTTCACAGACATTTCCCCGAGTCCGCACGGACACTGCTGCCGACTGCAGTATTCCGGATATGTCCAGGGAAATCAGGACATATGGCAACCCCACCTACTGCTGCAGTTGGCCAGAAAGCAGCTAGAAGCTCAACAGAGTCACACCAGGACCAAGGGAGTTCATCCCTGCCTTATTTCACCTCCATCCACCTACTTCTGAAAAGCTTAATTGCCTCTGGTCTCCCAGCTGTGATAGCAAGTATCCTTGGGAATGTAGCCTTGGTCTGCTACACTAGGGGAGGGTCTCCGTGTATATCTCTTTTCTACCCTAACGTTCCAGTTATATATTATTTTCTGCACTGACAAAAATGGCACCTCTTGCATCGAACTGCATATAGAGGTGATGAGGTAAACACAAAGCGGAGCAATCAGCTGAAGAACATGCTGGTCACTAGAGGGCAACAATATTCAGCCTGTAACTAGCAACAAGGGATGGGCTGGGCTGTGGTTTTGATGGGCTCTTTGAAAATGCCAAAGTTCCGATTTCCTAGATTTGCATGAATTTGTAGTGTGGCATAATGCTTCCCTTTGCTGTATTGACTCCTATTATTTAAAGCCCCTGACCTTCTAGTGCTCTGACATTTGAGATTCATGGACATTTAAGTTACTTTAGAACTGGATAAAATGTTTTAAAATTCATTCCTTTTGGATGTGTTTAAAGTAAATTAAATATGTAATCCTGCAGCTCCTCTGCTCTTTTATTGTATTATTGCTGAAAGTCAATGTGTGCTATAATTGGCAAGCGTTCAAAGGGCCTGAATGGATTATCTTTTGCTAACTAACTTCGTACACTGCATAATATAACAAAAGTCCCCCTGGAGCTACAGCAGGGAGAATGAAAGAGGTTTTTTTTAATTATTTAAAAAAAACTGTTTAATTACTTATTGTGTTTTCATTGCTTTGTACTGCCACAATGTAGATAAGATTATTCAAGCTCTTCTAAAAAGTAAGTCTGAAAAGAGTTAACACCACATAAATTGGTTATCTGGAATATTGTTGGAGGGAGTATGAGAGGAAGATTAGAATAACGTATTTGGGGGCCTAACTCTTTAAACCTCATATTTCA